TACTGATGCACACCTCAATAATGGATATCCTCCATCTCCAAGGAGATGAGTATCTCCAGGAAACTTATTTACTGCCGTGTGGAAGAGCTCAGAATTAGGAGTCATGGAGTCATGGACTGATCCAGGCCATCCAGCCAGAACATCAGTGAAAACCATATTGTTATCGCAAACAAGCTGAGGAAGTAAATAAATGGCCCTGTGAGAGGGATTCATTGTATTATCAATTTCAATTAACCCATTCGCCCCTGAACCGCCCGTAACCGCCCGTGCGGATCCAGGTCCTTTCTACCCATTGTGACGTCATCAGTTTTAACGGTCAAGGACAACTTTCTTCGCTAACTTGTGCAGAGTGAAGAGATCTTTCAAACCATACCAGAATGAGCACAATTCAGTCAAGGACACCGGAGAACCAAGCAAAAAACCACGTGACATTGACCTGAAAATCTCCATCAAAATCTTGTTCCATTACCTACCTACCTTTCCTTTCACCTAATCCTAAGATCCTAAAAGCTTTCCTAAAAACTCTTCCCACTAAAATCAAGCCTACTAAATGCCCAGCAAGAGAAAAAAAAAATGACGCAAGAAAAGCGAAAAAAGAAGGGAGGAGAGAAAGCGAAAAGTAAAAGTCAAGAACTCGAAAAATCTCGAAATTTTGCTTTCTGCCCATGCCCGAACTTCGCAAGCTGATATTTTGCATCTGGATCAGAAGGCTGTGAAGTGTTCGACCTGTAAACCAGTTTGTGGTAAGTTTTAGCTCTTTATAGAACGACAGTGACCAGAAAACCACTCAACTAGCTTCAAAACGCGTTTTTCAGCAAAATCTCCAGGAGCGAATGGGTTGAATTATATTTATGAATACTTGCTTTTCTGTTACCTGCACATTCAACGAGAAGAACTTTTCTCTGTTTATATATGCATCTGGGTCATCTTCTGGGGCCCGGATCCAGATGTGAGTACCATCAATCAAACCAATGACGCCAGGGAATCCCCCTTCCTCTTCAAAGCCGGTTCGTATGGCGAGCTTTTCATTTGCTGTAAAACGATTGTCAAAGTAACTAGTCTGCAAATTTATCTTTTACTCGCTTTGCTCTGTGACTGACTAAAGAAACTCACCATTAGGCCATCTGATAAATTGACCTGAAAGATCAATTGCTGCTTGTGATACTCGCTTCAGAACCCGGTCCACGCTACTCAGTGTAATGTCGAACCTGTCTGCCACTGCTCGAGCAGGCTCTTGGTTAGCCATACACCAGAGGAAAGCTAAAACTTGTTTTGGGGGTGGGATGGCAGCTCGCCCAGATCCATTCCCAAGTGGTATCCTTCCTGTGGGCATGACGGCGCGAGTGAACAGCTTGCAAGTTTCTCTTGTCATTCTGAAGTGACCCTTAAACTCATCAGGAAAATAGAGAGGTATCATGCCCTCAAAGTAGTCGCGGACTCAGTTTAAATTCCTACGCATGTAGGAGCTACCCACACTGAACAGCATTATGTCGTCGTCCTCGTCCAATACTTCGCTTATTTCAACTTCATAGTCGTTGAGCAACTCTAAAGCAAGTACAATAGACAAAGAGTCTGCCATTTTTTGATTCCCCTGTTTATTTCAAATTTTCACGCGAAAATTGGTACGTGATGGACTGGGACAGCTTGGTTCAAACCAACCGGAAAATACTGTTCCATTCGTCACATGGAATACTCGAAATTTCATTCCGGAATTTTTGGTCGAATGGAAAGTGCCCCTGGACGGTAGTCCTATCGTATTGGCCGACGCTTTCTTGCTCTTTCACAAATCTTCTTGTGAATTTGCAGACAATTGGTCGAGGGCCAGAAGTGGCAAATCTGGTAGGGATACGATGGGCAATATCGATGTCTTGATTTGAAATTTCAATTCCAGTGGCTTTGAAAAGATTGATATACAGGGAGGCAGTTTGGAAGGCCGATTCATGCGTCTATACCTTTGCAGTTGTTCAATTAAATCTCCAATCTTTCCAACTCGGGATGACATCAAATTTAGACGTGACCAGAGGTGTTTAAGACTATTCACAGATTCTGCTCATAGATCATCGTATGATTTTCCATAAAATTCCAAGGTGCTTAGGGACTCAGCGTCCGTAATCAAATGAGTAGGTTGTTCGCCACCATTACTGGTGACTTGTGGATCTTGTCGTTTGATGGACTGTTGTAGCTCTTCCAAATTTCGCTTAAGGGCGGTGATTTCATCCTTGAGGCTGTCATTTTCCTTTTTTAAAGAGCTTACTGTCACATTAGGCAAGACTTTATAGTGTATTTGAAGCAGTTAGTCAAGAACTAAGGCAGAGCACTTAAAGATGCGTCCACACTGCTTCGCAATCTAGCCCAATTCCTGTCACACTAGGCATGGCTGAATAGTGTATTTGAATGATCATCGAATGTTTGCTTGCAGGACAACAGTTCTCCTCTGAAGTGGTGCATGCTGTTGTAATCGTAATTCACCAAATGATGAAATTATGGAGAAGGAATTAGAACTATTAAACACTCTCGTGATGGAAGATGAGGTAGTGGATGGAGTATTAAAGCTCTGGTTTCCAAGCTGGCGAATACACGAATCAACGAATTCATGAATGCTTAAGTTCAAAGAGACCTCAAAGTTTCCGGGAAAGTTACTGATGCAGACGAGATGCTATGGCCAAAACTTTAATCATATTCTTTGGCTGCCACACGAAAGTAGATGAACTTGCAGCTAGCCATGTAATTAAGACTGAAAACTGCATTTAAACACAATATAATTTTTTGGAAGCCACAATGTTATGAAGTTTTGGCTGGAATGGAGACCAAGTGATGATTTCAGTTCTCCATTAATTGTAAGGAGGTCTACAATTGAATCTAAGTACGAATTTGACATATTTAGAGGTCATTTTTAGTGCCATGTTCCACCCTCACCTACAGTAAAAAATTACAATAAAAAAGAGAGAAGATGGGCGTGTGCTTTTTCCAAAACCTGGCAATAAACAGAGCTGATCAAGTTCTTTTGAGTCATCATAAATGAGTTGAACTGGGCTAATAGTGTGCTCCAGAGCTGTAACACAGATTCATTCATATACAAGGTACGGATTATTTTGAAATAAGGTTTAATCAAGTAACTGACAGACAGCTTTCAGCAATATGTGAGAGGTTCATATACTGTAGATAAATTCAATACTGAGTCAGTAAAAATCATAATTATTTCACAACCTCTCATACATGTACCAAACTATTTATGTGGCTCTGGTTCTCTGTGAAATGCAATAAAAATATTTTTTTGAAACCTGACTTAGATCAAGTACTGAAATCTTACTTAAAAATGTTGACGAAAAGATTTTCAATTGAGTGTTGTTAGAAAAAATAAGTCATCTTTGTGGTAAATCAGAAAGAACATAGATAATTAAGTAATCTTATAAGAACTCTTGGAAAATATAGCAAAACAGACAGCATAGTCCAAACAAAAGCATATTAGTTGGGGAGCATATGTCAAGAAATAACGTTTTGTGGGATTCTTGTGAAAAAGCAAGTCACCTATCTAGATGTGTTAAGGGGACTCTAAGGAATATAAAAACTGTTGTTAGCAATTCTGTAACTCGCACCGATGGCCACAAGGGTGGATTGAAAATGTGACGTTCGTCCTCTAGCATGGAAACGAGGCTGGGACTTAAAGTACCTGAAAACCATCTTTAATGACAACAAATTGTCACTAGGCATTTTTACATTATGCTAGCATTTTTTTCGAGCGTTTTAGTGAGGCAAAAGCATTTAGCATTATTCGAGCATTTTAGTGGCATTTTCCCCGGAAAATTAATTTTTCCGAGAAAATAAAATAGAAATTAACTTTTTTCAGGAGCCCATGCCCCATGAGCTCCTGCTTTTTTAAACAAAATGAATACTAGAATTCAAAATTCACAAAAAACCTAATACAGCTGTATTTATGAACTTGTACACGTTGTCATTGTTACTTGCAACACTTGCACATTTTTGTAAGTGTAAACTTTAAAATTAATTTTAAAAGCCGTTTATATAATGAGCATTATCCGAGCATTTTAGTGACTTTTTGGGGGAGACCGAGCATTTTAGTGGGAAAAATGGAGCATTAAGGTGGAGCATTTTAGTAGGGAGGCAAAAGCATAATGTACAAAAGCCTAATTGTCACCAGAATTACTCCTATAACACATAATAGTGTATCTGAGTGACATGATGCAATTTATCAGTGACGTGGTAAACAGCAAAAAAGTGGACCGTAACATTTGATGTTGACTGAACTAATGCTGGAGAAAGCTGCAATGCAATCCTTCATTCACTTGTTAAAGACTGTAAGGAATGTATGTCTAAGGCAAATGCAAAAGAGGTTCAGAAGAAGGCAGCTGCTCAAAAGGCTAAGATTTTTAATTGGGTCCTCTCCAAAAGACAGTACTCTGACTTTGCCCAGTGACAAAACTCTCGAAGAGTTTAAAACTGGGTCGCAGCCGCTAACTCAGTTGGAAGGATAACATATTTTGCACATGAAAGGAGAAGGTTGCTGTCCATTGTTGCAATGGATTACCCTTATCGATTCCTGCAAGAGCAGTTTCAAACACTGTTACTGCTCTAAGGGTTCATAGCATCCTTTTTGGTTGGCACACCACCACCAAAGTTCAAGTTCCGTCGCCAATGGGTCAGCCTCTCTGTTGTGGAGGATCTGTCAGATTTCTTCATGAGGGATGATGTATCCAGGCCTTCTTCCTACAGACGCGTAGTTGTTGATGGAGAGGAAACTCCAGTGAGATATTGGAAAGACAGTATCAAGAATCTAGTTAATCAGTATCTGCTAGTGTTCCCTTTTGGTGTGAAGCGAACATACATCTATAGCCCCCTACAACCCAGTTTTAGATCTGACTCGATGTTTGCCAGACTGTGTAATATTTGTGATGACTATGGTCATTCCAATTATGACAAGCTGCTGTCCGTAATGAGTGAAATTGAACATATAGTGTGTTTCATTGAAAGAAGAGAAAACAATGGTGTTGAAACATCAGCAGTTTTTTAGAAACCAGATCAGCAAAGTTACTGAGAAGAACTCTCCTTCCTTTGAACTTTGTATCACCCATGCCTTTGGATCTTGCCCAGAGTCTCATCCCAACTGTTGTAGTGATGTTGTTGCCTTGCCTACAGTAGAGAAGGTTGCCAAAGACACCATAATAGGTTGGCTGACACTGCTACAAAGCAACAATTGGAAGGGGAGCTAAAGGAGGTAATGAACAGCCATGTATTATATGCTAGCCACCTGTTAAGAACAAAGCATCAGGCAGACTATCACAAGTTCATCCTCAACAGTCTTGAGCCAGGTGATGCTGTTGTCATTATTGAGTACAAGATGAAGCTTGAACTTGGTGTCCGTTTACATGAATGTCAGCGGGATCGGCATGGCAAGAGAGGTATATCGCTCCATGGCCTTCTTGTCATAGCCCAAGTGGATGCAAACACAAAGGTCAGCAACATTTTAGATTTGTGGAGCGAGGACACAGAGCAGGATTCCTGGTTCGGCCAGAGCGCAATGGATGTGGGATTCAGATGACTGCAAAAAACCTTCCCTGGCTTCTCAGTATACTTGTTTTTAGGTAAGCAAAGTGTCTTAGTAGTTAAATGCAGCTTCTTAAAGGGCACGTAAATCCAAAAATGATACAATTGTGTTTGATATGATTAGAATGTATACCAAAAGTACTTCATCAATCCTTTATGGTTTTTTTCGATACAAGCGCATTTTGACGCGAGAAATCACCTCTGAAAGTTCACTTCGTCCGCCATTTTGATTCTGCCCTCTTTGTTGTGACATCACAAATGGAATATCTGCCCATCAGAAGTCAAAAAGATCTTTGGGACCTTTACAAGCACGTGTGTTCTCTAGTTTCCTACAAGAATATTTTTTAGTTTTGACAATGCTAAAGTGGTGGGTTGTTGGATCTAGTAATAACTCTTTACGGCGCAAAATAAGAAGAAAGAATTCGGCGCCAGTGGATTAACTTTGTCCAAGTTAAACGTGCAGACTTCTTAGAGCCTAAAGAACACTCCATAATCTGTGGCACTCATTTTGCAAACGAATGTTTTCAGGATGATGGGATGGTCAAAATGGGCTCAAAGATAAAAGAAGCAATTTGAAAAGCGGTTGGGTCCCCACAATTCAGCCACAGCGACCCAAAGCATTGCCTGAAGCACGTAAGTGGACTATGGATAGAGAAGAAAAAGAAATACCGGCGACTGCGAGTCAGACTCCTGGCAAAAGGTCACAAACAAGTAGAGCTGTGCACAAGTTATCAGTTTCTAGGGTAAGTAAGCCAAAGTAATATATTAAGACGGATTTTTTTCATTAGGTCAGTATTAACCGTTCCCCCTTCCTCAAGTATATTTTACTTTTTTTCACAGTTATTGGCCGATAATAAACGTGCCTTCGTTGCTGCGAACACCGTCACGTCAGCTTCTGAGTCTCTGCCCATTGACACTGAAAAAAGTGCTTGCTCTGAAGATGTGACATCTCCCAGATTTAAAGAGGTAGCAGTTCAATGTGATATTCTGCACGAAACGTCTATAGGTAAAGGTAGATTACGCTTAGACATGATCTTACATCGCTTTTTTATTGCCCCCTAACCGATTATCTAATGTAGAATCACTATCCAGCAGGCACACAAGTAGAACCCTTAAGAGCAGATTTTCAAGTGCAGTGTGACCTTATTACAGCTCCTTTCAGCACTAGTACAGCAGAATGCAGCCCTGTTAAAAGTCTAGGAGGATGCAGTGTGGACAATGACAAAGATTTCGATTATGTTCCACCGACTGATTTGTCTCTTGTATTGAGGTGTCTCTTGAGGAAGCCAAGGACGACATTGAAGAATATGAGGGGAGTCAGTTTTAAAGTAACGTACCGCCGTACACTGGTTATATTTTTGAAGAGATATCGCGGTTTGTTTGTTTTCTTTTTTTCCTTATTTTTCGCTGATGGTTTTCACTTCTTATTTGTAACATATAGGTTAATTGACAAAAAGGATCCTGTGGCTCCCCAGGATGAGAAAAAGTACATTGTCTTCTTCTCCTGTCTGATGGAACTGTTCGCGGTATGCCCTAATTGTACTGAACCTGCCACAGCTGAAGTAACTAAAGTAATAGGCACTCAGATCTATGTGACTCAGAAGTGTCCCGCCTGCAAATTTGTTCGTCAGTGGAAAAGTCAACCCAATATTCGAAGAATTCCTGCAGGAAATCTTTTACTTTCAGCTGCCATTCTTTATTCGGGCAGTATGATATCACAGACCCTGCGAATATTCAAGATCCTTAAGGTGGAGTGCTTTAGTCGGCAGACGTTTCACAAACACCAGAAGAATTATCTCATCCCCGTTGTTATAAAATTGTGGAAGGAGGAACAAGACAGAGTTATACAGAATATGTCGGCTTTACCAGGGGGAGTTGTTCTTTCGGGGGACGGGAGGTCTGACAGTCCAGGTCACTGCGCCAAAAATGGAGCCTTTACAGTTATTGAGCAAAGAGTAAACAAAGTCTTAGATGTGCAACTTGTTCAAGTAAGTGCATGGCATTTTAATAATTTATCTTTATTGCCTTTTTTGTTCAGTCATGTGAAAAGTGCTTTTGTCTGTGCCTACTAGTCTAATGAGGTGCGGAACAGTTCTTGGTGTGAACACGAGGGTCTTCTTCGTATGGAACGATTTCTGGCTACCAAAGGGCTTCTACTCGATGTCATCATTACTGACAGAAATCGTCAAAATGCCGCTTACATTCGCAACAACGTGAAGCCAAAAGGAACTACGCATTACTACGACATCTGACATATAGCTAAAGGCAAGTGAAGCGTTTATACAACTAAGCACTCGACCTGCCCAACTAAATATCGAATTATAATATCTTTTTTGTGTTGACGGGTGTAAAAGTATTTCTTATTTGTAGGTATTGGCAAGAAAATTGACGCTTTGGCAAAACAGAAAGATTGCGAAGATGCAGGCTTGTGGAGGAAGTCGATCGTCAACCACCTATACTGGGTAGCTGCCACTGCACCCGAGGGAAATGAGGACATGATAGAGGCTATGTGGAAGTCAGTTTGCAACCACATACAAGACATCCACGAGGAGCACAGTGATCTCTACCCGGCGTGTGCCCATGGCCCTTTGGACGAAGAAGAGAGGGACAAAGAGTGGCTACAACCTTGTAGGAAATTTTGGATGTTTTGTTCTACAAATAAATCCTTGCTATTAGTATCTTATTTCTTTATTTCCATTTTAATTTGCAGCATCAAAGGTTTGTGAAAAGCTGACCGACATCCTTACAAGCAAGTCTCTACTGAAAGACATCAGGATGCTGTCGCCTCGGTATCAAACCTCCTCTCTAGAAGCCCTGCACAGTTTGGATATCATATTTGCTCCCAAGCACACGGCATTCGCGTTCTTGGCTATGCTTGCCAGGTAACGTGACCTTTGTTTTTATGCTCCTAACTCTTCTTGACTCCTATAGACATTTCTGTTCGCGAGTATAGAGTTTTTATTCAGTATATGGTTTTCTTTTATTTAGACTACTTTTGGCTGCGCTTCATTATAATGAAAACAGTGACAGACTGCAAGCTGTAACTAAGGAAGGCAAGCCCTGTTACTCCATCCGCTTTCCCAAGCATAAAAAAGGGGAATACTCGGTTCGCAAGGAGAAGACTGCTGCCACCTATGGTAACTATTGCGATGTGAAGTGCATGCAGTCCGAAAAAACACCCTCCTTTTTTTTCGCAGGTTACACCGAGACTCTACTTAATGTTCTAGTGCGAGAGTATGAAGAGGACCAAACATCTTTAAAAAATTCTATCCAGGATCTCAGGGAAAACATGCCTCCACCACTCACAGCTTCCTTTGAGAAACCCTGCAAAGAAACAGCAGTTGAACAGTTGGTCACGCGATTTGCACAGTAATAGTAAGAGGATATGAAATACAGCGGCATTTTCTGTTTAAATGGCAAAATTTTACATCAGCAGAAGGAAACAAAGCAGGACGCAAACTATCAAAGATCTTCATGACGCGTGCCCTGTGTTTCACCGCATGACAGTAATCACGCAATATGCCATCAGCATGAGTGCTAGAGAGGCTGAGATTTGTGCAAGTCATATATGCCTAACAATTGACTATAAGTAGTAACTAGCAAAAGGGATAATTTGCTGCAGATTAATTATAAACTACCTCTTTCTATTTTATTGCAGGTTTGGTGGCTTTAAACCAGTGTAGGAGGTGCCAAAATCTGCAGGAAATATTTGGCGTATTTCGTTTACCGCACAGGAAGGGAGCGCACTCTTACTTTTCTGCCAAGATAACCCCAACACCATCGCACATGTTGGCGATAAGCGATGTAGCGAAATTTTCTATACACGAACGAGAGGAAAAATGTTACGAATATGCAGTAATATGTCAACTGTTCATAATTGTTTTATGTATAAAGTGAAAATTTCAGAACAAGTAAACATACTTGTGCCCTCTATGACTGTCTGTGCCATGTTGTTGCCTGCCTACATGCATAATACGCCGTTTTAAGGACCCACACATCCAAGCAAGCAGACTGAAATCCTGGATGTTCTGCAATACAGGACATTTGGACCTCTGTTTGCTCTTGAATTTTTTGCCATATTTGCACTATTTCATGACAACATACGCTTTCGGGTACTGAAGGCATCGGCTGACACATTCCACACTCACACCTAAATTACAATAACAAAAAAGACCCCTTTCACAATGGCTTGAGTTCATCCTAGCCTCACGATAAAATTACTCCAAAATAAAGGCAAAATGTATAAGCAATACAATTTAAGTCACACAAGAAAAAATTACCAGACTGTGTTGCCAAGACGATCCGTCTCACTTTCGCTTTTGTCCTCACAGCTTTGTTGTTATTGTCCATCATCTCGTTGAACTCTGTGAGGCTCGTAATGATAGGGACGCGGACCTGTGTCTGCAGGAGGCTCTAAGTTTCGGCTACATCGCTGTAGTATAAATTTACATCGTAAAAAACACTTTCGTCGAATGAATTCTGCTCTGAACTATTCGAACTATAACTTATCACTCGAGCCACCATAGTGATAATGAAGTTGCACAATAGACTGGTTCCACTCGTTACGTCACAGGTAATTTCATATTGTTAACCAGAAGTTAATCTTCCGTAGAAAAGCTGTGTTTTCGCCTTAGGAGCATCGAATTGGCAAAAAAATGATAGCAAAATCGTTTCTAGAATACTTTTTTACATGTAAGGGGATAAATTTGTATTTTTGGGTTTACATGCCCTTTAATCCTTGCTGCAGCAATGGAATACATATCTGTATTCAATGACAGACCTTCTAAGCAGACTATTTAAATTTTAAATTGCCATCAGTCTTTGTTCCTGTATTTTTTAAGTGAGCTCACTAGTACTAAATAACATTGTACCATAGCTATTTCTAAGTTTGGTTTTTATTTCATTGTTAAATGAGTATTTACCACTTAGTTTATGCTACACATTTATCTTTTAAAAAGTCTGACATATTTGTCGCTACTTCCCCAGAGCTGCATGTAGTCTACCCTCAGTGAACTACTGTTGTGGTAATTGAGCTACTTGTGTGGTCATTGAGCTAATGTCGTGGTTATTGAACTGTTGTGTGGCCACTGAAATGATAGTCGTTTTGAACTATACATACAGAACAAAACAAAAACTGAACTGCTGCCTCACTCATTGACAGCAGACCCAACAAATTGGAAACCTTAAAGAGCGCTGAATCCCTCAGAAAGAGCAGAAATAATTTACGTGACTCCAAACTGGTGAAATAAACAAATTTCAGTCCAAAAAAGCAGTAGTTAAAACAACTTATCGCGGGGCTCAACAACCTAGAGACAACTGCAACACAATGAATGAAATTGCCATTGCTGTGTACTATTTCATATCTCAGCTGGGAAAGAAAATGTGTTTTCGACTATTCTGCTGTAAACGACAATTGTTTGATTGGAATATGTCATTCCAATTCCTCGAAGAGTAGCAAAGACAGAGAAGACAGAGTGATGGACTCAGTTTGAGTCTTGTGGTGTAGAACATGTAACTATTGCAACTGCAGCACTCTGCATGGGTGTCAACTTCCCACACATTTTTATTGGAGGAAAAGAATGACTATGAGTATAGGATTTGATTTTGGCCCCTCATCAGCCTCATCAATCGAAATTGATAAGTTCATTGTTTTTCACTGTTCGTCTGTTCTAGTTGTTTTTTATCATCTGGTGTGTTCTCCCCTTTGTTCAATGTGAAAAGAAACAAAAGGAAAAGCGATATATGTATATTCACACAGTAGTTGACAACAAGTGCGAGACTTTGTTACTTCTTGCTAAGGGAAAATTTCATGGGCCTGTAGCTGAACAGACAAGATCAAAGAAAAATGCCGTGGTCCAGTTTTGGAGAAGAAAGGAACTCTTTACCTTGGAAATGAAGAAAATAACACACTATATATCAACAGAAAGAAGGTAATTAACAAGTCGGAGGGTCTCAGGATTTGTTGCAAAAACACTTTAAGAAAACAAATTGCCAGTTACATAAAAATAAAGCAACAATCAGACGGTAGCTATGAAGGACTCAGCAAGTAAAAGATGTGACAAGTCATGTCAAGTTGCATAAAGTAGACTAAAAAGCATAACTTAAAGCAGAGTCAACAAAGTCTTTTTCCGATTCTAATTTCTCCATTTTAAATGAAAGAAAATCCAACTTAATTTGTTGAATAACTAATTATTTTCCCCCACAATCAGTCAATCAATCAAAACGTTTAAATCTTTCCTTAAATGGTCTGTCCCGTAATAACAGACGTGTTTAAGAGGTTTATAACATCAATTTTTTTCCCCTTGTACTCAGTGTTTCTTAGAGCTCGTGCTAATCTCATACAGAGTCAGCGGAGAACACTAAAATCACGGTTCATAAGGTGAATATAGCAACATATAATACAATCTTGGACCAATACGTCTGGGAATCTCATAATCAAAGGAGTGATTACACATAAATTGTATGGAACTCTGGTTCACAAAGTCAATTAAAGATCTTCAAGTTTTTCTTGTCCTGAGTGTGTTCAACTGGTCACTCATCAGCTTCATCTTCATGGACACCAACAAATTCAAGGATGACATTATTTGACCCATATTCTCCATGTCATGGTATCACTCTTACACACCATACTTCCATGGTCGCTTTTTTTGCTTCATTGCCTTCACTTAAGCCAAGAACAAGAGGAAGACTGAACTGCGTTTTAACAAAACAAAAAGAGGCTCTTTTGAAAATCAATGTAAGTTTTAAAACTGAAAGATTAAGACTCAACGCTCTTCTTCAGATCACTGCTCCTTGCTGACCACAAGCATTTCTCATTTTCTGACCGCCCCTGTAAAATTTTCATGTTGTTCTTTCAACGAAATTCATCTCCTTTGTTTTCAATCACTTGCTTTAGCTCTTTCTCTGTTATCCACGTGTGTAAACATAAAAATAACGTTGATTTTTTTTTCTCTAAATGTCTGGGCGGCCATGCGATTTCCCTCCAAATAAAACCTTGCATTTGGGTTGCCATACCTGTTGAGTTATTTAATATTGGTGTGCGTGTGGTGCGGATGGACGGGTGGACGTATGGTTACATTACTACCAAAATTTCTCAGATGCAAAGGTTACTAAATTCTCTTAAGCACGGTGCTCTGCTGTGTGCACGAAAGCTGCGCTAAAAAGGAAATTTGAAAGAATTCAAAGGAGGAAAACACAAATGAGGCGGTTAAACAGGGATCAAAGAAAGTGGTACATAGGTAGAATAGCCTATAATATAGTTAAACATTGAAGTCAGAACTGGATCAAGGCAACATGTTTTACTGAACAGCGAAGCCATTATTTCTTTTTTCTTCTTCATAACTGCACTGGAGGGTGCATCGAAAACATGGAACTCAAACTGAAGCATTATGATTCCCGTATCACAAACCATGATCCTTAACCTTATTTTTAAACAGTCACTAAATTCCTTAATAAGCTGATCAAGTGATTCATGAATGGGCAGTTAAGTGTGGTCGCATTGGGTTAGTTGTTGATTGATATGTACACCAGTATATATAGCTGCGTCATGACAGGATTTGTCAGTTTCTTAGCAGGTCGTGATTATAACAACGGGAGCTTGCACAGTCCAATCCTTTAATTTCTGGTGTGATGTCTTAATCAGGATATTCTCTTCGTCCACGTAATCAACCAGACTACGCTTTATTGAATAGCAAAAACAATTACAGTTTCAAGTCTATGATATTATGAAGGAGTCTTGAGCAGCCCCAGGGATGCAGCACTAGCCCCTCAGACATCAGACCTAGGAGAGGAGTTTACTGAGCTCCAAAAGCTGAAAACTCGGGCCAAAGAGGAGAACAAGGTCCTGGAGAAAACAGTTCAACTGGAGGCCATGCGTTAGGAGGTGCAGGTGCTTCGTCTTCGCAATGATCAACTCGACCAACTCTGAGACCCGACTCCTTCACTTCCTGGCGGTGTGGAACTTTCTCCAGAGGACAGTCAGCCAATGCACACTATTCAGGACTTGAGGTCCAAAAAATCCCTTTCTACTCGGGTAAACAAATTTGTTCCTACCCCGGATGCTTCACCTCCTCATGAGGACAATGACGAAAAGGACAACCTTCCCATTTCTAGGGGCAGGCGCCTACCTTCAAATCAGCCAAAGACTGTAAATTAACAAGGAGAGTTCTTTCCCCCCCAGTTATGCCCCCACGGCCACCTTAGAGTATCCTTCATCTCCAAGAATAAGAAGTACGATGATTTATCGCTGGCCGAATTTGCTGCCGGCTATGCCGCTATTTTTCAGCGCCCACCCTTTCTCCTTTGGAACTTCAAGCACCTACCAAGCATTTGACAGTTTTGATCTATTTGGCTACTCAGTATACTTGGTAGTCA